AACAAGAAAATGCATTCTCTAATAAATGAACATCCTGTTCTTCTACAATCAGAAAATCATCCATGTCATGACAACCCATAATTTTTTCGTGATGTATAGATTTTATATCTAATTAAGAGTACAGTATTATTATTGATCTTAACTATAACATGCGTATATAAAATACTATGTAATAATTATCAATGATTGTTAATATGTAGCTGCGATCAAAAATTTATAAACAGTGAAAATTTTTATCATAATTTCTAAATCAAATCTCTTAATTATGAACGGTCAAGACAGTTCAGATTTAACTGTTGATGATTTCTTTAAGCTTTCATTTGGGCTAACTCCAATTGAATTAGACCCAACAGAGTTTGTCACAAACGAACTTACCAAAGAACTATTCGTTTCGCTTATAGAGCCATCATTAAAAGAACAAAATCCTACTGGAATTTTTCGTAATTTATTTCCATATATTGTGGATACTATTAGCAGAACTGTTCCAATCACTATATTAGTTAATTACATCCAGGAAATTAATGAGAATGGTGATATATATCAAATTCTCCAACGTTTTGAAGAATGTATAGGCAGAGATTTTCTTATAGCATTTCTCGATAAGATTCCAGAAAACTCTTTTTCAAAAATTCTCCATACAACTGTTGCCGCTAATATTCCTATTCCAATTTATCTTCCGAATAATACACATTCTCAAAAAGGCCTCAAAGTTCTCAATGGATTGCGTGACATTATTGCTGCTTGTAACTATCACCTTTTTATCTCTGTAAACCAAGCAAATACTGATTTAGAAACACCTTTCTCGAAACAATTATATAAAAATTACTCAAATAATCGTGAAGACGTTTCGGGAATTTGTAATCCAAATTCTATTGATATTTCTTTTCACCCTGCATCAGAAAATCATTCTCGTCCACCTTTAGCTATCTCGGAAGTTTACTATGATCAACCATGCTCTTCTACTCTTCGTGATACAATAAAGATATTGTCAAAACTTGCATTTTATATCGTTATCCATGTCTCTAATAATGACTTTGATGGAAATGAATTCAATGACCAATTTATTTCTACTATTAATAACATTTCCGTTGAATGTTATGGTGATAATAAACGAAAAATTTTAATTCTATTTTGGGGAATCAAGCCTCAATCTTTTAGCAAACGTAAAGAAAAAATTGAAAAGTTATTACGTGAAAAATTTACTAATGACGAGATCTGGATTGAACTTGTCATCAATAATAAAAAGGGTACATTGTTTGAAAAAATCAAGAGAGATTCATTTCACAAACTTAAAGATGCTAAAAATTTATGGCTAGATTGGACCCAAGCGGACTTTCCTAAGGTCATAGATGATAATACCGAAGAATTTTCATCAGAAATGGATTTTGCATTATTAATGGCAGAATTTGAACCTTTAACTGATCGTGCTTATATATTTTATGCTTCCCATTGGGAAAATAAAATTGAGGCACTACAAGATAAAACTCATATAACTCCCGAAGATTCACAGAGCAATCAAATTCTGAATGAAACTTATCTAACAATCCAGAAATATCAAGGTATACAAAAAGATGTCGAAAAAAAAATTGGGTCAATTTCAATTCTCACGCATTTTGCGAATGTCATTAAGAAGAAAAACATTAAATTTATGCGCGAATTTGCGCGTCAGACAGATGTTTACTTTAAAGTTCATCCTATTTCTTTGACCCGAAAAGATGATGAAATAAATAATAACTCAATTGAGAATGATCAAACAAGCATTCAGCAGAAAGAAATAAAACAAAAGATTGAAGACTTAGATATAACAATTCATGACTTTTGGAGAGAATTTATTATTTTATCCAAGATAATGAGAAGCGATGGTTCATCAGTTTTAAAAATTCTATATGATACTGAAGATAAGTAAGTGTTTATTATGAATACTTTTAGAAAGTTGATATGAAATTTGAATACTGTGGATAATCCAAAAATGGTTATCATTAAGGCAACTCGAAGAAGCATATAGTATTTGGATACGTGAAGGAGAAACAATTCAGTTATTAGAAGGCGTATCACTTAGAACATTAAATTCCGATTTTCTTTTGCCTGTTTTAAGCCAATTAATGTCGAACTCTAAACGGCAGTTGGTTGTTTTCTCCATCATTGGGCTCGAAAATTCCGGAAAATCTACGTTGTTAAATTACTTGTTTCAATGTGGCTTTTCAACCTCTGCTGGACGATGGTAAGAATTATATAGGTGTTTATTGATCTTGCATAAATTATTTATAATTTTAATTACTTTTCATTAGTACAAAAGGTAAGTTATTAAAATTCCGTTATCACTTAAAATCCATAAAAATAAAAAATATTATATGATAGGTGCATATATGTCATATCGACACACCTTCTATAAAGAGAAAGAGCTGGACTTTTTAATCATAGATTCTGAAGGAATGGGATCTACAGCAGCAAAATATAAATCAAGACGTACAGATTTCGATAAAAAAATGACTCTTCTTGGTCTTATGTGTTCTCAGATCCTCATCATCAATACCAAAGGACTTACACGAGATATTTCAGATACATTAGAGGTTTCTTCGAATCTTCTAAATGCATTAAATAATAGAGATTCTAATAAACCAAGGATCAGCTTTGTTTTACGAGATATGAAAGAAGCTAAAATAGCTCAACGGTCAGCATTTCTTGATATTCGCGAAAGTTTAAAAAATATATTCGATGAAATTCCGGGTTGTCATGACATGGATGATTTTCTGATTGTAGAAGAACAGGATGTTCATTTATTAGAGAATGCATTTTCTTGTT